CTATTCCAAGCTCTATCATTGCAGTCAGCGGGTGTTGCAGTTGAACAGTCCACAAGTCGTCAAATAAAGCTCGCGCATTCATAATAAAACGTGCCGGAGAGTCACGTGACCTCGACCAGCGATGTGGCTGTAAGTTTCTAGGCTCGTCCTCAAATCCCCATAAAGTTAATATATTGAGGAATTCCGTGCTAAGAATCGTACTAATTTGATTACTAATGTCGTCTAGTAAATCTGCAACAAAAAGGGAATGTACAAATTCCCCGGTTAAGAAAAGACCGAAAGAAATCGGAGGCCTATCAACCGAGGAACTCGACGACGCCATCTTAAGAGCTGTTAAACAGGCGCTGACAGAGCAACAACAACACTTCGATAAGGCAGTTCAGGCAGCGGTCAAAGGGGCTGTAGATAACTTGGTGATACCACAACTAACAGATCTGAAATGTCAAGTCAAGCAGGCGAATGAATCTGTCAGCGGTCGTCTCGCATGCGTTGAAGAGCTGGGTAATTCCTTACAAAAAGTGAACTCTCGATTTGATTCCCTCCACGCCACTGTACGAGCTCAAAATCAAGATATTAGAGACCACGATCGACAGATTGTATCACTCTCCGCAAGATTAACGGAGATGGAAGACAGGAACCGCCACTCGAATTTGAGGCTAGTGGGCTTACCAGAATCCGAAGAGGGATCGGACCCGATTGGGTTTCTCAAGACGTTTTTACCGTTGTGGATACCCTCCCTGGCTGGTCGTGAGATCAAAATTGAGAGAGAGCACATCGCCTTTACAACAGCAGGGAAACTGAATCCTCGCGCTCTCGCACTTTGATTTTCAAACTTCAGGATTATGTTGACCATCAGGCAATTCTGAAATGTGCGAGGGAGGCTTACCCTGTGAAACACAAGGAACGGATCCTATCCTTCTATCCCGATTTCAGTAACGAGATGGCGAGAAAGCGGAATTCAACCAAGTTCGAAAGAAGATGACCGCCCTTGGTCTCAGGCCATTCCTCGTTTACCCAGCTGAGCTCAAATTGACACACCGAGGTCAATCTCTGATCTTTAAAACACCACAAGAAGCAGAGAAATTCCTCGACTCCAAGGAGATTCCGGTAACTCCATTAAAGAAACCATCAGCAACAGCTTCGATGATGGGACATCAACGCAATTCCTGGGAAGATGATGGGCAGGAGATGACTAACGTTACCTAGGTTGGAAGTTATGGTACGTTCCCCTGAAAGACATTGTGTGTTTGGACGCTACGAAGGTTCGGTCTGTTTATTTGTGTTTATGTAAATGCATTTGTAACGCACGGGATGTCGTGTGAAGAAATCGGGGAATGAGGAAATTAAGTTAATCGCCGTCTAAAAAGAGTCACGGCTCGTGATTTTGTTTTTCTTTTTTCTTCTCAAGCCTCGGGGTCGCTATACATGACCTGGCGGCTGGTGTACATAGTTATAACTGTCAGCACAATTGTTCGTTTACTTAGGATGTTAGATATCATAAACAATGTCTGGTCACATGGAGATATGCTTTCAAAATCCCATTCTGTATAATGTACGACTACACAGAAAATCTGATGAATGGAAGATGTGTATGTGCTCTTGTTGAAGTTAATAATACTAAGATGCTTTTGGCCTCTGTTTATGCCCCAAATACATTTAATCCATCATTTTTTAGGTCACTGGAAAAAAGTTTAAGCAAATTTCCTGATATACCCCTTATTATAGGAGGCGACTTTAACTCATATCTAGACCCAGTGATGGACCGATCATCTGGGGGACAATCCTCTCCCTCAATTTCGTCACTTGCGTTTAAGACATTTATATCCAATTTAAACTTAGTTGATTTATGGCGCTTTAGAAATAACAATTTGAAAGATTTCTCTTTTTATTCAGCTCGGCATCACACATATTCTAAGATCGATTATATATGTGTTTCACCATCTCCGATTAACAGTATTCCGCATATAACGATGTTACCCATTCTCATTTCTGATCACTCTCCGATACTTTGCAATATTATCCCCTCTACCTTCACTCCCAAGTTTTATAGGTTGCGATTTAATGACAGTCTGTTGACAAATTCAGAATTTATGGTGCAAATTAATCAACAGATTAAGGAGTTCTTGGAGATTAATAGATCACATTGTAAAAATCCACAGATATTATGGGAGACTTGCAAGTGTTTTATAAGAGGGTTTTGTATAGCTTTCTCTTCAAAACTGAAAGCATAGAGAACGAGGTTTATACACTTCTGATAATCCTGTAGATTTGCATAAATGTAAAACCTTTCTTAATAGCATTACTTTACCAAAATTGCAATTGGCAGATATAGATTTTTTGGAGGACCCCCTAACACTGGAGGAGTTAAAGATAGCAGTAAAATCTCTTCAAAAAGGGAAATCTCCGGGCTCAGATGGAATTCCCCCTGAGCTTTATCTCAAACTCACATCACTGGTTTAGCCAATATTGCTGTGTCCGGAGCAATGATATGCTGCGTTCCAATGTGCCTACTTATACTACGCCCTTAAAGTATGTACTGTTTTGGTGAGGAAAAAGTACACACTTTTGAGTGTGTAGTAGAAGAGTAGGCAAGCTTTGGGACATACTATCACGTCATACAATTGCGTCTTTAACTGAGCGCTCTGTCGCATTACATGCACCCTGTCACTGTAAACTGGCCTGTCAATCATCTTGTCATCTTTCATTTAATTTAACTTCCTACCGCATCAGAGAGAAAAGATGTAGCATGTTGATCTGCCAGCCGTGGGTCTTTATGTGGAGAACTCTAAAAGTTAATGGCCAAACGGATGTTTATAAAAGTTCACATTGTTGTTGCAGAGGAAATATAACACAGATAACATGAAATAAATATATATATTTTTTTTTTTTTACCAGGTTAAATGTTGATTATTAGTAACTCAAACCCCTTTATCTAAACTTCTCTACTTAACTGTCGGTTGCGCACATCCACCACGTTTGTAGTTTTTTTTTACACTTTTTATTTGTGTTCGTAGTTCCAAACCGAATCCTTCACCAAAGCGCAATGGGTTGTGGGTAATATTAGCCGTCAAGAGTGTGCATGGATCCACACTTCAAAAATCGACCTGAAATAGTAGACCATCCGGGGATTTTGGCATACTCTTTTCAACATACTATGCTTTGGGACACACTTATTCTAATCTCACATACTATTTATATAGTATGATCATTGGGACGCAGGGATAGCCTAACAGAGCCAGATTTTACAAAGTTTTCAGGCAAAAGGTTGTATTAATTATATTTGGGTGGAAGTAGAGTTATTATTTATTTAAATTGTTAACTAAGTTTTTTCATTAATTTTAGTCAATTTTACTCAAACTAAAATGCCATTTAATTTAAGAAAAAATCTAGTTTTGCAATTTTGCACAAGAAAGTGCAAAATTAACCCAAATATTCAAACATTTTATATATCTCTAACATTATCGACTATGATTGACATTTGAATGACCACATGACCATTAAAAAATCTAATTTAGATTTTTCTCCTTCAAAAATTGTGATTTGTTAATAACTCAGTGTGTTAATTTTCATTAACAGTATGTTTGAATTAAAATAATTTAATGGTCCACGATGCACTTTTTTGGTCTCTTTCCATTGATGATAAAATTTTAAAATCTCTCTACCTTTTCTGCAGTAATTTTACAAGATAAAGACAAAAAAAAAAAAAATCACATCAACTGAAAAAGATCTTACTATTTGTATAACTGCTTTCAAGTACACAAAGTCAACTCAACTCTACCTCAGTGCTACTTTCCGTCTTAAGAAAGCTGCGTCCTTTCATTGGTTCACACAAGTGCTGATGAAGAGCACAATGATCCTTGGCAGCATTTGCATCTCCCATTATGAAGGTCATCTGTCTCAACTCTCCCTGTGAAAACAGACATAGATGTCGAAGACAAATCTGAGCTATGACATCAACCACATAACAAATCCATTAGCTGAGCACTGATTTCACAAGTGTGTTGGTCAAACGTTCACTCACATGCCTCATTGATTTAGGATGAATAGTGAACTTGATACCACAGTCGTAGGCAAAAACCCATTGTAGGCATTTAGTGCCATTGAAACTCTTGGCATGCTGCTCTGTGATCATTCATTTTTAAGTTTAAGTAATTGAGATGATGGTTTTCACAGCTGAAAAGCAAATAGGTGTGGCAGCCAGACACGTTTCCCATGACGCATTGCTTGTGCTACTTTAACAGGATAGCTCTAGTTTCTTTAATAAACATTCTTCTACACACTCTGTTGTAGTAAGACATATTTAGTGTTTAATTAATGACTTTAGGAAAGGCTGGTTGCCCAGGCATGATGGATTCTTGACACTGACTATAGTTATGTGTCTTTCCATTCCCTTGCATATAACAAATGAAGAATACCTCAAAAGGTGTCTCAAATCCCTCCAGGATTCCCCCCATCATCAGCAGGCCATCTGTAGTGATGCCCATGTACGGGTACATCCAGCTCACTTTCTCCACCAGCACACAGTCCACATAGACAGCCAGCCATTCAAATGCAACCCCAACTGAGATCCAGTGCCACTGCGAGTCAGACAGTCCTGACACTGAAAACCTGAAGCCAGAGGAAAACACCTCATGTTCAGAAGACAGCCGTGGTTTCAAATATTAAAGGGAACAATGTTATTTCAACTAAACTTAAAGTAAAGCTTATTGCTCAGAGCAGAGGCATGTGTTAAATGGTGCTTGTACTCATAGACGCGCTGCTGAGTGGTGATGAAGGTGATGCTGTGTGGACCTATACGGATCTGGAGTAAAATGTGATTATAGAAGTTCAGCAAAGTCAACACACTCCGGTCCTCTTCCTGTGAGCTCCGCAATTGAATCAGCACACTGAATTCATCTGCAAAGCTGTGAACACACACAGACACTTTGCTAAGTATCAAGGCAGAAATTATTTCATTAGAAATGAGAGAACTTAAATACATACACTACCATTTAAAACTACAATTGAAGGATTTTGTGTATTTTAGTATAGTTCTTTCTTGTGTAATCAACATCTGATATGTCACCTTGTGACTCTGTATTGATGTAATCTGTAAAGATGTAAACCAAATACACAGGATGGCCCTTCTATCCTGTCTATTGTTAGTTCTCAAGTAGGAGGTCCTAATAGTATCGGTCTATTGTTTGAAGGCCATTTGGTACCAGGTATAAAGTCTGGTCACACAGACAGTACTTTGGGTTAAGATTGTTTGAAGGATGATATGCTAACATCGCTGCTGAAGAACTGCTACCTTCAATAAATTCTTCTCCCCATAAGAACTGTGGTCAAGCTTACTTATTTTATGTATTAGAGAAATCGAATACATTAGCGAGCCACCCAAACCACCGCTCAGCCAATTACAGCAAAATCTGACACCGTCTAATGCCCAACAAGGCTGCATTTATTTGATCAAAAATACAGTAAAAACAGTAAAATTGTGAAATAATAATACAAATTAAAATAATTGTTTTCTATTTTAACATTTTAAAATGTAATTGATTTGTGCGCTGACAAAGCTGAATTTTCAGCAGCCATTACTCCAGTCTGTAGTGTCACATGATCCTTCAGAAATCATTCTAATATACTTGGTAATTTCTTATTATTACAGTTGAATATATCGTGCTGCTTAATAGTATACAGTGACAGGGTTTTTTCTTTTTGGGGGTGGGGGGGGGGGGGGGTGAATATACATTTTAAATGAACAGCATTTATTTGAAAACTTTTTGTATCAATATAAAAGTTCTTACGTCACTTCTGATCAATTTATTGCACCCTTGTTGAATGAAAGTATTCATCATATATATTTAAATCCAAACATTTGAACAATAGTGTAAATTTAAAAAAAATTAAGGTCATTTTTAATAAAATCATACTGAAAAAGAAGAAAAATGCAAAAAATGCAACAACAAAAAAAAGTAAATAAATAAATGTTTGTCAAACCTTCCAAATGCTTCCTGGGTGGGCATAGTGAGTGTGGAATACAGGCCAATGTCCAGCACTGGACATCCCTTGTCCTCCTCATAAAGGGTCACGTTCCTGCTGGTTGGTACTAAGCCTGAGAGCTGCTCAAGTAAATCCACTCTTTGTGTGAAGAGATTCAGATGTGTGTTGAACCCCTCTGTAAAGAAGGGAAAATCAATTTATCAATTCAGCAAGAGACCTGCACAGACACAAATCACATTAAATTAAATGACACTTCATCTGTTATGCATAATACTGCATTTATTAGTGAAAAAAATATTACAGAAGAATAGTGGGACTGGGACATTCAGATGTTGCATCATCCCCTTATTCACCTTCTGACTTGTTTCAGCCTATTATGGGAAAATGGGCAAGTCTCAAACTGTCCAAATCTCCTAACTTTCCCCTTCCAAGCACTATCCACAGATGACCCCATCCTGTTGTGCACAAACACAGTCAGACCCATTACTGATGGATGATTCTGGGGTGAAGCATTCCCATGGAGGGCTGTATTTTTCCCACCTGATCCCCACAGGACATCAAGGGTGAAGAGAGCAAGCCGTTGATTAACTTTCCATCCCTTGCCTGCACAACAGCCAAATAAATCCTACAAGACTCCACTTCTTCATTCTCCCCTTCAAGTACATCTAATAATAAAAGGTCATCCTTCAAAAAAAAACAAAAAAACAAATGTCTTAATGTTCAGACAATAAAACCCACATCAACCATGAAAGCAAGATGGTAATTTTATGATGCAATCTTTCCGTTTTCATTGGATGCCAGCCTCACAATTGTTCCTGCTATTCAAAGAGACAAAAAAAGAAATAAAGGAAGAATAAAAAAACGAAAAGACACAGCTCACTTAAAGGGATGTTGAAAAAAATGAAGAATAACTCTGTATATTTATTTAAAGCTGCAGTCCATAAGTTTTGCCTCTTTGTCGCCATCTCTGTTTGAAAACCTGGAATTGCAGCTGTGTGCGGAATTATCTAGCTTGCGTGGGTTGTGCTCTAGTGCGGCTCCAGCGCGGATGAATCTAATGTTCTGAAGAGTATGTGTGGCTGTCAGTCAACACACCGGTGTGGATATTTACTGTACTTCGCAATCACAGATTCTAGCCTACGTCTTGGAATATATGAC